AAGACATGAATAAATAGACTGTAAAAAAATAAACTGTGCATCTTGATTTATTTTGGTGTGTGTGATTTGGTCACAAGGAGTATAATAGTCATGGAAACAAACGAAGATTTTATACAAACGGATCTGTAGTGAGTTTTGTTTGTTTAAAAAAATGCCGAGGAAAACGTCATCGTGATATGTCTAGCGCATGTACAAAAGTGTCCAGAGGGTGAAAATAAGTCCAGGAAGACTTGAACGTATTGTAATGTCCTTCAATGTGGACAGAAGGATGCAGGGAGTCACTGATGCAATCTGTTCGTTTTTAATAAACAAAAGGAGCAATAAACACACATTCACAGGAGTTGCTGTTAGCCACAACTCACGCCCATGCGCTTCACAATCAGACTAACTGCCGGAGCCAATATTTCCCAACTTGGCTCGTCCCCTTTCGATGACGTCACACAAATACAAGAAACAGATATTACAGTATTGATTTTAAAATCTGTGACCGCAAGAGCTTTTCCTGCGAAATTTCATGCAAAAAACAGTAACACAGCCAAATGATGTGTGTGTTTTAAATAAAGAGACTAAGGCAAGAGGACGATGGGTTAAAATACATGATATGAGCACTAAAATTTGTCAAAATGTGCCTGTGTGGGTTTTTGGTATTATGTTAGCGTGCTTTGCCAAAAAAGAAACACCAAATACATTCACTGTCATTTTAAGTCTATACTTTATTTGTATAGCACTTTTGTTCACACTGTTACAACAGCATGGCTCACATTCACCAGTTAGCGGTGCTCTTGATCCAAAACAATTGGGATAAAATTACAAGAGCTTGGAGTATTTTCATTTTGTCGAAAAGTTTATCCATTCGCTTTTAAATAATTTAAAGCAGTTTATACAAAGCCAAGCATGGAGGTGGATCCTTTTTTTCCAAATATAAATAGTCCACGGAAAAGCCCCGCTTACATGACCAAGGTAAAAAGGAAATTCAACACTAAAATCTTTTTCACTCTTTCTAAAATGTCTTAAGTCACATGCACACACACAGTGTGTTCGCGGTTCAAGAAAAAGGCACCACTGTGACAAAATTATCCCATTAAAAAAATAGAGAAATCCCTCTAAAAAGCTAGAGAAGTGAAATCCCGAAGCTCCTTAAGCACATTTTTTTCCATTCAGAGGTTTAGGGGTCCACAAAGGACACCATGATGTACCTGGTTCCGCTGGTCGTCGGCAGACCCTCGTGGTAGTGAGTCAGGCGGCCGGGGTGCATGAAGGACCAGCCCTTCCTGGGCGACTCCACGTTGCAGTCATAACGCAGGAACCGGCAACCTCCGCCCTGACATAGGCAAACACGTCAGTTAGTCAAGAGTTGAGTGGAGGGGGGCTAAGCTAATGCTAATTGAGCCAACCCAAGTACCTGGTAGTCAACGTTTTTGCTGTTGAGGGCGATGTTGATGGTGAACGTGGACGAGTCGTGATGCGGTCGCAAAGACGGCTGCTCGTCGGGACGGTAGCGCACCACGAAATTCATGATGGCCTGAGCCTGCATGCGGTACAAGTCAAGAAATCAAGGAAATCTTTCATTTGTGTACAGTAATTCAAAAAAGGTTTGTGCCAACAAAGTTTCTGACAGGCAAGAGCCTCACATTCGGCTCATCCTCCAAATAGCAATGAGAAACCTCATGGTGTGGCCACCATCACCCCTGACCTCAACTCTGTTGAGAGCCCAGGGAGCTCGTACCTTAGGCGAGTACCCGGGATAGAGTTTTTCCGTGATGGGCGCAATGTACTCTTTAAGAAACTTGAGCCATTCCTTCTCAAATCCGATCTGATTCATGTGGATGTCCACAGTGGGAACGTTTTCGTAGCCGCCAGCCAGACGTTCGTCCTGAGAGAGAGAGAGAGAAGAGAAAAACGCACACACACACACACCACCATAAATCACCTCTGACCATCTTTTGGGGTCTGGCAAGCAGACTAGTGAGGAGACCAGGGAGTCACCGTGTGCTTGCCGCCGGACCATTTCCCATAGTCTTCCATGGTCTCCACTAGGTCGTCACACATCTTCTCCGAAAAGGCCGGGAACCAGTATACATCCGGACACGGCTGTAACAGCACAGAAATGGTCCACAGAATAATTTGCCGTGTAGAATAGATTTGAAAATTATGCTACTGGTCTTTAAGTCTGAATGGTTTACGTCCTGATGACATGAAAGACAAGTTAATGGAATATAAACCCAGTCGGGCTCCGAGGTCTGCAGATTAGGGTCAATTAGTGGAGCTCAGAGTTCAAAACAAACATGGTGAAGCAGCATTTAGCTGTTATGCCGCACGCAAATGGACTAATTTGCAAACAGAAGTGAAGTGAATGTAAATGCTTTTGAATTGAGGTTAAAAACTAGGATCTTTTCCTTTCCTTTTTCCACGATTAAGTAATTCAAAACATTTATAAAAATCTTCCTATTACACTATATGTTCTGTCAGTCATTGTAGTGAGCTGCTTCTATTTCTTTCCCTTTTAATTTCATTAACTCTTCTGTTTGTAAATACCTTAAAACATTGTACTTCTAATTATGTGAATTACATACTTTGTGTATCAAATGCGTGATGCAAATGAAGCTGGCTTATGATAATAATAGTAATAATAATGATAACTAACCTGCTCCACAAAGCTCTTAGGGTCCTCAAAGATCTTGGAGTAGTTCTCATGGACGTACTTGGCCCTCCAGTCCTGCCACAGACAAACAATTAGCGATGATTACACAACGAGTGAATGTTGAGCTGCACGTGGAGGTGTTTGTGTGTGTTGGCGGCACCAGAGGGTTGTCAAAGATCTGCCACATGTCCGGGTGCAGCCTGGACGTGTTGAAGTTGTTGGACGACACCAGACGGCCAAAGTCGTCGCGGTTGGACACGAACATGAACACTCCCTGTGGGTAGTTGGGAGGTGTTTACATTTTCAGTGTGTTTTTCTCTGTGTGCTATGACTACGGCAATGAAAGTTACCTGTTCTCGGACCCGCCGACAGAACGCCATGTCTGGGTCCAAGTTGGGGTCCTCGTACAGGTTGACCTTGGACAGTTTGGAGCGCAGCACGCTGCCTTTGATCAAGTAGGCCTGAGACATGTACGGAACGTTCCACAGGCCGCTGCAGCACACACATACAAGCAGGGTGAGTCAACGAACGGTCAGGCGGCTGAGGGGGACGAGAACGAGACGGCCTTTGAGACTCACATCCTCTTCCCTTGAACAATCTCGATGTAGTCTTCCGATCTGGAGTAGTAGCCTTCGGCGCTCAGGGCGCCCCAGAAGTTGCTCCACAGCTTCCCGGGTTTGGATAGTATGGGCGCAATGACGGACCTGGAAAACATTCCGACATCCGTTCAACGGGAATGGGTATCATCAAACAGTCAACGAATCTTGGCTAAAACAAGAACATTTCAAGCATACTTGTTCTCCTCCATGAGAATCCTCAAGGTGTCGGGGTTGGTCAAGACAACATCCGAGTCGATGCTGAAGTAGTAATCGCAATGGGAATTCTTCAGACACGCCTCCCTACACACACACACACGCACAATGGCAAGCTCAGTTCGGGAAAGAATTCTTCAGACACGCCTCCCTACACACACACGCACAATGGCAAGCTCAGTTCGGGAAGCATCCAAGCTCGCCGTGACTGGTCGAGCACTCACACAGCCATCTTGCGAGCCCGGTCCTCCTGCAGGTTCTCCTCGGGTCCGACCAGCACGGCGTCGGGGAAAAAAGAACGGTGGCGCTGCCAGAACTCATGAATGTGGCGCTCGTGGTACACCACCTGTCAAGAGGACCCCACATTATGACAAGAGCACGCTTTCCATGAAAAATTAAATCCCATTGAAGCGAATGGAGATGCTTTTTCAAACGTAACTCATCCTTCCATATTTTGACATTTACTCAAGGTAATTCATGGAAAAATTCACCACATTCCCAAAATTTCCATTTTTTTAACCATTCTATGACAACATTAACACCACCAATTCAAACCATGCCAACTTATAACTTAAAATATTCTGCTCAGTTCGGACATCTTGGCTTCTATTTGTCACATTCCAATAATAATTGTTCACAAATTTCATGTTTAAGCTCCCAAATGAAGAGCCACTTTAGACATTTACCTTTCTCTTCCACATTTCAAAATCAAAACCCTTCCAACTTCGGTTCATTCCTGACATTTGCCTTCCAATTCTCCGGTTACCCTTTTGCAATATGTTAGCATGTTCACTTAATTTTGCGGCATTTCAGTTTGGCATCAGCTCTTCAGTATTCACAACCATTTTTTACAGAAAATCGCATTCTTTTGTCTTTATTATTATTGATCCAGACGAAACCGTCCTGAAGCTACTCTGCCGACTCACATTGTTGTGGATGAAGAGACGGATGCGCCCTAGCGGGTAATTGAGTGTGGTCAGCCGCTCCAGGAAGTCCTCCATGAAGGGCGTAGCATGGTGGATGAACACAGCCACGTGCACCAGCGGCATTTCCTGGTCCTGAAGTCAAACATACACCCATAAAAAAAATCCTTGAAATGGCCCTCTTGTAGACAAAGCAGCAGCAGCAGCTTACGCACATCTACTTCGTCGAAGAAAATTAAATCATCATCACAGTTGCCGCATCCCTCCTCGTATGTCCACGCTGTCGGGACGTAGTTGGCCAAATAGTTGAGTTGCAGCTGCAGAAGACAAGTGGCATCATGATGAATTTACTACAAAATAAGGAATCTTTCTTCATATACTGACAGGTAGATCAATAAAATAATACTTTTTTTTTTGTTTTGTGATCCAGAAAGTGTTGAGCAGGCTACCTTAGTGGGTCCGTTGCCGTGAATAACAACAGGAAGTGTGTCATAGGCGACGTTCCTCACGCGGACCTTGGCCTTCTCGAACTTGAGGACGACTTCATCTGACAAAGACCATGTTGAGAAGCCCCCAAGTGAATTGAGTAACAGCTCGCTTGCTAACGCAGTAATAGCTAGCAGGATCTCACCAACGGCACCGTTGAGGTTCTGGAAGATCCTGGAGCGGTGGTCCAGCGTCATGTTGAATTTGGTCTGAGTGTAATGGGGGGGAGCGACAGTGACAAAATAGAACGCGTTCATAGCGTCACTATGGCAGTGCGGACGTCATTTTACCCGCTGTGCCCGGTCCAAGTAGATTTTGGTGTAGAAAAGTTGGTCATCGTCGTCGTCTTTCAACTTCCACTGCTGGACGAGGGCGTTGATATCTGGTGCGAAGCCAATGAACCCTGACCGGCACACAAGTCATTTCATTTTTAGTTACTACTCGCGAAGAGAAGTCACAAAGTGGTTCAGAAAATCAAAAACAGCATACATATGACTCCTGTGTGTGAATGTTACAACATTTGGATTGGATTGGATTGGATATAACTTTATTGTCAAATGTGCTGTATGTGTTGCCATGTCAATCAAATTTGACCAGAGGTATCAATCAGTATTGCTGGCCTGTATAAATTAGACGACATTAGTCATGGGACAATTTCTCAAATTCACCTCAGAGTCCGACGAGCAAAATAGAGTCAGGAAAATATCCTGAAATGACCCTGAGACTTCTCAACAACACCCAAGTGGTGCTCTCTTACCTCCCGAGTTGAGGTAGCGTTTCCCCGAATGCACGGGAGGGTACTTGGGAGCCAGCCTCTGGTCCGGCCAACAGAAGCCCTCGGCGGAGAACACCACACGGTGGCCCAGTCGTGAGAATTTGTACAGGAGTTCCTCAGGACCCGACGCGAATACTACATCGTAGCTGGAGGGAGACACAGCGGGGTTCACTTGAAATCCAGGCCAGCGCTTCAAAACAGGAGGGTGGGTGTTACCTGTCTACAAACAAGATCACCATCTCCTCGTGCTCTGAGTGTTTGAGCAGCTCCTTCTTCAGCCAGCGCACCTTCTGCCCGCCGCCCACCGTACGAGCAACGTCGCCACCTTTCCATTCCTCTCCCAGGCCCAGAACCTGAACACCAGCATCACCATCACCAACCATCAAATTATCATCATCATCGTCGTCGCCCCGAATTACCTTCACTGTGTAGTTGAACTCTCTGGCTGTCCTCATGAAGCGCACAAAGCCGTCTGTCTCTTCCGTGGCAGCCGTGATAACCAGAAGATTCTCTGCACGCACAAACAAATATTGGAATTTTCCAAAAGAAGGAATTCCACACTGAGGTGGGAAAAAAAGTGGGGAAGGACGAGTGCTGAGTGTGAAACAATGCAAAAGTTGCAGTTGTTTCTGTGATTACAGGGTTTTCGCTAGCCTATCTTAGTTCCCTCCCTCCAGACCCGTGCATCCAGTCAGAAGGGGAAATAAGATTGTGACCTTGTCCGATTTTAGTATGGATAAATAAATCAATCTTTGGAGGCATGCCGAATTACCAGAGCCAAGACGGTGATCACCTCTGTTCAACAAAGTTGCTCAGCACCAAGACACCACCAGATGGTACCAAAACAATATCCTTATATTAGACATGGCTTTGGCTTGAGAACAAAACATCAATTTGGTGATAGGATGCAACATCTCTAAACTGCCGAGTGCCGAAGGGCAAATATGTAAGGGGTTCAATGTACAGGCTTTGAGTCTTTTGGGAGACACACAATCAAGGATTTGGCGCCACGTAGTGGAAAGTTAAGATTGACTTCACAAGAGTTGAAATAAGTGGAAAACGTCAATATAATGTAAAAGTTACAGTGAGGTAAGATGAGCTGAAAGCGTGTTAGTGGGAGACGGCAAGAAGCAGGAAAGGCGTGGAGAGATCTCTGCGGAATACGGCGGTCCGCCTGGCCCGCCTGGAGACCCTCCAGAGCGGCCTTACCTGGCGAGATGCTGCGCGATTGAGCCCCGGAGGAAGCGTGGAGCACGACAGCGAGTGTTAGCAAGCCGAGGAGCCAAGAAGACATGGCAGCGGCCACTTGTCGATGTAAACGCTTCCGTTCCATCGCAAATTGCTCCCCTACTCTCCGCTCCTTTCGCAGCTCGGACGGAAGCCTGGCGAAATCTCGCGAGGACAACATTCCCAGTTGGCACGTAAACGTTAACGGGAAGTGATTGGCCGCTCATCCGTGACACGGCAGCCAATGACAAGCGCGATATTTTTGATCGATGGGGTTTCTTGCCAATCACAAGAAAGGAAATGTGATTTTTTTTTTCTGTGTCCTCGGGCTACAGAAAGTCGCGAAAGTGGACCTCAGCTTTGTCACGTCGAACAGGTTCACTGTTAACGTTCTCCCTGTCCACTTAAGGACTGCTCTAATAACCAAGAACACTTCATAACGTCATTAAAATGCGTATTTGCTGGTCGGACACCAAACACAGCAGTACGTTTAACGGCAATGGGAAGTGATTGGCCTCCCACCATTGCCACAGCGGCCAATAAGAAACTCGACAACTCTGGCCAACGGGGCTCACCGCCAATTGGGCGTGTCGACGAACGAGCCAATCACACGAAGGCAAACGGTATTTTTTTTTTTTTTTTTTGTGGGCGTGCGTGTGTGTCCTGGGGCTCCAGAAAGTTCTAGTTTGCCACGTCACACACGTTCACTTTTGACGTTTTTATTGTCAACCTATAGGCTGCTGTGATAATTTAAGGCTCATAGGATGTCAGCAAAATAGGTATTCTTTTTATTATTTGTGGGGTTGACTTCTTAGGTGTTTTTTGCTACTATATTAAAAAAAAAACACGTCGTGAGCCCTGCCCCTTGTTGTCATAGTAACCTAACAACATGATGGCAACACTGACTCACTTTAATTCTTGAATTTTCGGTGGTATAATGCCTAATAGGCCACGCTTCTTCACACCTGCTCAGGTGGCGGCTCACAACACAGCGGCTGACCTTTGGGTGTCCTTCCTGGGCAAAGTGTGTGACCTGACTCCCCTAGTAAAGCAGCACGAGGGTGAGCAGCACGACCATCCGCGCATTCAACCCAGAATTGTGACTAGAAAATCCTTTGGGCATTTTAGTTGGTAAAACGTGCAATCAGTTGTGAAAAATACTTCCTGAATGAGCTGAACCTTTTGAAGTTGGTCAAGAAATAGGGGAAACCGTAACTGTAAAGTCTCTCTAATCATTTGAGAATTTTGTCATGTAAAATATGAAATATCGGAAAATGCTCTTCAGCATTCACACAATATTCTTAATAATTTCACGCAGGTGATGTTTTGCTACTGCCCATCATGGAGTTTGCAGGCAAGGACATCAGCAGCTGGTTCGACCCCGAGACCGAAGACGTGAGTGTATGCATACACGGCAACAATCGCATAGCGGCTCTTAGCGCTCACCTGCACCTGTGTGCAGGTGTTGACGTTCGTCCACCCGTTGACAGACTGCGTGAGCTACTACACGCCGCGGGGTCGCTTTGTCCACATTCCGCCGGCCGGGCCGCGCTCCGACTGGGCCAGCGACATCGAGCCGGCCTGGTGGAAGGACCGGTGCTACGAGGTGGGACGGCTGTCCGCCAAGACCAGATGGATACGCGTCATCAACACGCTGACTTCGCAAGAGCAACGGCTGGAGGTGGACCACGCGCCCTAGCCTCCCGCCATTTGTCTTAAACTAGGCTAATGGCTCCACCCCCTCTTCTTTTGGTTCAGGTGTGTTCTGAGGAGACTCTAGCGGAGATCCTGGAGCGCTACCTGCCGTACAACTCGCACGCGTGCAGCTATACGTGGAAACACAACGGTGCCAGCCTGGATATGAGCAAGACCCTAAGTGAGAACAACGTCCCGGACGATGACTTCAAGCTCCAGAAGCTGCGTCTCGACTGCGATCTCTTCACGCCCGCCATCCTTCTTCACTTCAACGACGACCTCACTGAAGGGTGAATGCCATCGCCAATCTTTTGTCATTTTTTTTTTATCACGTCGTGTCATACAATCTCAATTTGTGTTGGACCAAACCATGTCATTGCCAATCTTTTGTCATTTTTTTTATCACGTCGTGTCGTACAATCTCAATTTGTGTTGGACCAAACCATGTCATGTTCCCATAATGCCATGCTGTATCATACAATTGCATGTTAGATTATTGTCTTGTCGTATCATGTCATGTGTTGTTGTCAAGTAATTCATTGCCATGTTTTGGGATATCAATGTCATGCTGTGTTGGGAGGGATGACCTACTATAGTTATGCTAATAAAGTACGTTTGTGTAAATCTGAAGTGTGCGATGTGTTTTGAAACCCTGCCACCGGATCGTGCAGCACAAACACACACGTCAAACAGGTCCAGTTCAAAGATCCCTCGGCGGTCAGTCACCTCGAGCTGACGTCGACTTTCGCTGTCGCCACGCTCCTCTTCATCACGAAGACGACGCAAAGGAGCTGATCACCATGACGACAGAATACCACGATGATGTCGACGAGGACAGCAGCTCCTTTTGGAACAAAAGTACAACTTGTGTGTGTGTGTGTGTGTGGTCTCTGTCATGTTTTATGGAGTATGTAAATGGTGAACGTGTGGTGTGTGTTTTGTGCATGTTCATAGTGTGTGATGTGTTCACGTTTTGTGTACTATTATGTCTGTTGTGTATGTATGTGATATATGGCAGGTGTGTTCATGTGTGGTAGAGCACGTGTTGTATAGTATGTTTGCATGTTGTGTGCGTTCATACTGCAATCTAGTAAGCTAGGGAGTAAGCAACGAGCTTCGGCCGCACACCACTGTGGCTCAACACAATGTGGAGTTTCTGGCTGGAACTGCATCTCTCACCTCCTATTATGTCTGTTGCGTATGTGTGTGCTATATGGCAGGTGTGTTCATGTGTGGTAGAGCACGTGTTGTATAGTATGTTTGCATGTTGTGTGCGTTCATACTGCAAGCTAGTAAGCAACGAGCTTCGGCCGCACACCACTGTGGCTCAACACAATGTGGAGTTTCTGGCTGGAACTGCATCTCTCACCTGAAGCAAATCTCGCTGTCTGTGAAGGCTGAAATTGTCTCGCACTTTCGAAAGGCAGTCTCCCAAACGAAGAACAGCCGAGACGACGAATTGGCAAAGTCGACAATTTCGATCATCGTCCGTAATGGCAACAAAATCATGGCAGAGTTCGAGGCCAACAGATTGAAGGATGATCGTAAACGGCTTCGGGGTGCGACACATCCTGAACTGGAGAAAACACTTTTCATTTACTGACTGAAATTTTTTCAGAGATGAACTTGCAACGCTGCTGTTGTTTGTATTATACATCATAAAACAAACTACCGTTATAACGTAGAGATTCGTTATGTCCTTCGAGGTACGTTGTAACGAGGTTCAAATATGTGTGTGTGTGTGTGTGTGTGTGTGTGTGTGTGTGTGTGTGTGTGTATAGTACTTTTATTGTTTGATAAAGAAAAAAAATGCTTCAAGTCCCTTGAATTGGTATGCCAAAAAGTTGCTTCTCAAAATTAGAAAGTTGATCCTTGAAGTAATTGATTTGCAAAACTGCACCACAAAGAAAAACAATTATTTCCAGCCTTGTACTCTGTGTGTGTGTGTGTTTGTGTTCATGTTGTATGCTTTGTATTTTATTGTTGTGTGGGTGCCTGTTGCGTGTGTGTTTTGCAAGAGTCTGGTTTGTGTTTTGTGCATTAGCTCACATTTTTTCCGTCTACCAGCTCCCCCTCTCAGCACTCGCTCAGGCGCGTCCAGGCTCACCCGCCGCTTGTTTCCCATTCTCACCATCGCAGCCATCTTGATTGTGACAATTGCACTGGGAGCCAGCTGTGAGCACCGATAAAAAACACACACACACAGAGAACACAAACTTTTCCAATTTTGTTACATGCACAGCAAAGGAATGTGTGTGCGTGTGTGTGTGTGTGTGTGTGTGTGTGTGTGTGTGTGGTGACAGACTCACGGATGACAAGTCGTTTGTGGTCGGCAGAGCAAAGTGTTTCCAACATCAGCCAATCATTGAGCACTGTCCAGCAGCTCGCTGCAGGTAACTGTCCACTTTGGAGTCATGGCGCACAATGTGTGACTGGACAACGGAAAATTAGCATAGTTAACAAAAACTAACAAGATAACTAAACCCAAACTTAAAAAAAAAAATCATTTGCAAAATAAAGATACCTTGTAAAAAAAAAACGAAACTACATCATTTGTTTATAAAACTAGCGAAAATGGCCTTCAATTTTTTCTTTATCAATTAATTCGAAGTTCATTTAAAATTGCTGAAGGTCAAACAGTCATTTCAGATTGTACTTTAATTTATTACACAATATTTACAATATTTTTAAACTTGTACTTGACAAATACTTCTTGTATGAGAAAAACTAAGACTAAAACTAATAATAATTAAGCTAAAACGCAGCAGCATCCATCCACTGGAAAAACAAAATAAAACTAACAAACCTCTAAAAAAAACAACAAAAAACTGAAACAAAGCAATGAAAAAAAAAAGTAAAAACGAAAAATAAAAATGTGCTTTAACAATCAAAGCCATCATTTTACGTCATCCTGTGACATGTTTTGTCATCTTTTACCCTAACCCAGTGTGTTGATGTCACAGATGCCACCAAAGACATGGAGCGACTCAAATTTGCGGTGGCGAGCAACAAAGAGGAACTGCGCTCAAGTGAGACTTGACAAAATCATACATACACCATTTCGTTACACGCCACAGAATCTTCTCTCACATCACGCCATATTGCGTTGTAACATGCCACTTCTCTTATCATGTCATGTTTTATCATGCCACCACATCGTGTTGTCATACCACTGTAAGTTGAGAGGTTCGTAGTTTTGTAGTGAATAGCTCTACTTTAAAAATGGGCAAAAGGAGAGATGGAATCCTTTGAAGGCAGCTTTTTATTTTCCCCGGTCTGTACCTCCGCACGAACGAACGAGAACACACCTTCTTCCCGGTAACACAAAACACTTCCTGGTTTCCTTAACCAATCAGATAATATCACAAACTTGTTAAAGCAATTATTAAACGGAATATAACCTAGGTAACTGTCACACAAAAGAATATAATGCTCAAATATAAAATGAAAATAATTAATAATTTAACATAAGCTTACACCACCATCACATGACGACCATTGGACTTTCTTTTTCAGCCTCTGAGGCTTTGAAGCAGCTCGCCACTCTCGAAACCATCAGCAAGACGGTGGCCACTCTCCAATGCTCCCTCCAACGCATCATCAACAACGGTACACGACACACGCATAAAAACAACACGCCGAGCGGACGTTTGAGGGCTTGTGGTTTGAAGGTTCGACATCGGAAGGCAGCGGCTGCTGTCCTCTGGGCTGGGAAAGGTTCAGCTCCAGCTGTTACCAGTTCAGTCAGTCGCTGCTGTCCTGGAATGATGCCCGCGACTGGTGCAATGGACACGATTCGCACCTGGCCATCATCATGTCAGACGAAGAGTGGGACTTTGTACGCCGCCACTCGCAGGGTCGCTTCTTCTGGATTGGTCTGAGCGACGAGAGAACGGGGTCGTGGGAGTGGATCAACCAGACGCCATACGTCATGAACCGCAGGTGTGGGCCGCATCCGTTCATCACGTGAGCTAATTTTCTGAGTAAAGTGAAGCGCTCATCCATAGCGGTGGGTGGGGCGGATGGGCTGGTGGTGTTGTGTGGCTCAGGCACTGGCGGCCAGGGCAGCCCGACAGCTGGATCCACCATGGCCTGGGACCAGGAGACGAGGACTGCGCTCATGTGCACGCGGACGGACGGCTCAACGACCTCCACTGCTCCACCAGGCTCCAGTTCCTCTGCCAGCGGCATGCCTGACCGTGCCCGGGAAGTTTAAAAAAAAAAAAGCCCCTGTGCTGACACTTTTTAATGAAAACACAATAAAATGGAATAAATACACTCACACAGGAAACGGTGTCTTTTTGTCTGAAATATAATGAAAGATGCAGATGTGCTGACCACAATATAAACGCGCTGTACAGTGTTCCCTCACTTATCGCGCTTCATTGGGGACTGGATCTTGCCGTGATAAGTGAAAAACCGCGATGGAGTGTTGGCTCCCCCCGTAGGATTTTTTTGTGCGAGTGTATGTGGGTACCAGCATGTTTAAAATATATAAACAGTATTTATACTTCACATCAGGGGTGCCCATTACATCGATCGCGATCGACCAGTAGAAAGTGGACTGGTCCCAAGTCGATCCGAGGGCTGGAGAGGGAGAAAAAAATCCAAACATTTGTGTCTCGACATCGATCGCGATCGACCAGTACAAAGCGGACTGGTCCCAAGTCCATCGGAGGGATGGAGAGGGAGAAAAAAATCCAAACATTTGTGTCTCTGTGCATGTTAGTAATATATTTTTTGTGTTAATGCACACTGCA